CGGCGGCTGCGGGCGGGACGGAGGTGCGCCCCCGCTCGGTGGAGCTGGGCCTGGAGGAGCGGCGCAGCAAGGGCCGAGCGACCGACGATCTGGAGGCCGGCGCCGTCGAGGGCGAGGACCGGCCTGGGGATGGCGGCAGCTCGGCGGGCTCAGGCAACGGCCCGGGCGCGGTGCTGTCTCTGGGAGCCTGCTGCCTGGCGCTGCTGCAGATATTCCGCTCCAAGAAGTTCCCGTCGGACAAGCTGGAGCGGCTGTACCAGCGCTACTTCTTCCGTCTGAACCAGAGCAGCCTCACCATGCTCATGGCAGTGCTGGTGCTCGTGTGCCTCGTCATGTTGGCCTTCCACGCGGCGCGGCCCCCGCTCCAGCTGCCCTACCTGGCGGTGCTGGCCGCGGCGGTGGGCGTGATCCTCGTCATGGCGGTGCTCTGCAACCGCGCAGCCTTCCATCAGGACCACATGGGCCTGGCCTGCTACGCCCTCATCGCCGTGGTGCTGGCAGTCCAGGTGGTGGGCCTGCTGCTGCCCCAGCCACGCAGCGCCTCCGAGGGCATCTGGTGGACGGTGTTCTTCATCTACACCATTTACACGCTGCTGCCCGTGCGCATGCGGGCTGCGGTTCTCAGCGGGGTTCTCCTGTCTGCCCTCCACCTGGCCATCGCCCTGCGCACCAACGCCCAGGACCAGTTCTTGCTAAAGCAGGTAGGGGCCCATCTGGCCAAAGGGACTGGATTGTGGGGTGGGCAGGCCTCTACTAGACTCAAAGGGGACATCCCCCTTCACCCTTTAAAGTGCTGAAGAGCGTCAGAGACGTGAGGTTCACCTGTGTGGTGTCTAGGAGCCCCTTAACCCTCTCTGAGCCACAGTGCCGTCATTTTCAGAGCATGACCTTGTGTTACATTTACCATGCTTGGCCCTAAATGTAGCCATTATTTTTAGGATGTCAGTGAGGAAGGGGCGTTGGTGGAGACAATTCTGTCCAGAGGCCCCTTCTCTCCCGTGCTTCTGTCCCTCGGCCTAAAAGGCCCTGGTAAAGCGGTGACCCCCTGCCTGCTGAGACCTGCTGCTGCTTTGTTAGCCCATCCTGGGTCGAGGGTTGTGGAATGGAGACCCTGGGCACCCTTTGTTCAGTCTTAAAGGAGGGGTGATGACCCTGCTAGTTTCTGTGGCTGGGGACATGGAAGCTCAGATGTCCCTGAACCTGAAGGAAGACTGGCAAGTTTGTTTCCGTGACAAAAGTACCCTGAACCAAAAGGCTGTCTTCTGCAGGATGGGAGCGGAGCTGCTGAGATGTGTATGGTGTCAGGCCCCACCTGGCCTAGGCACAAAGCTTGTGTTGAATCATGACCTGTTTGGGCGTGCCTGATTATTGCTTGAGAGAGACATTATCTATGATGAGCCTGGAGTGGTGGGCTCAATAGAAAATAACACTTCTGCCTGGTTAGCTGGTAACTAACTCCCCTGAAGGCTTCTGGGAGAAGGGTGTGCTTGACATCACCCCCTGGGGATGAGCCCGCCCCTTTGGCATGCACACCTTCTCCCTGCAGCAGTTCCCTTAATTGTGTCTCCATGGACCTCATTCACTGACCCTTGCTGGCATTGCTCGTTCTAATGCAGCTCAGCTGGGAAAGTCAAACCGGCTGACTGTAGACCCTGCTGCGTAGCACACCTCTACTGGCCTCCTGTGTCTGCCTCCTCTATTAGAACCTGGTAACATTATCTCACTGTCAGCACCTTCCTTCTCCCCACTTCTGCATTTCCTCAGAGTTTGATCTGGCTGAGTACTGCCTCTCTCTTGAGGGGTTGCTCTGTGCCTTTCGGGCTTCCTGGGTATGGTCCCTCCCACAGGGATAGCATTGGGATGGGCTACCCAGAGCTGGGTGCTAGCTGAACATCTAAGGTGCTCTGTGCCTTGCTTTGAAGGAGGATCTCCCTGCCAGTTGCCCAGGTTCCAGATTTCTGGAGACTTGCTGAGGAGAGAATTGTGTATGCCCCTTGCATTTCCAGCCCTCTCCAGCTAAAGCCTCACCTCCTGCAAGCAGCCCTCTCTGTCAGTTCCAGCCTACTGGCTTCTCCCTCTTCTGCATGGTTAATGGTGAAGTCAGAGCCACAGCATGGAGTTTCTAGTTGTTCTTTAGTGCCCACTGGTGTTGCTATCTGTCAGCATAAGCCCCTTGGATGTGGCAGTCTTGAGGTTTGTGTGTGTTTCTATGACCTCTCTTGTCCAGCGCCTTGCAGGATATTTAGTAGGACTATAATAACTATTCACCAGTTTGGTTGGGTTCCAGTGAGTGGAGGATGTGGCGCTGTGGATGTTAAATTAAAGCTTTTTCCTACCTGGGATTAGAAAAAAAAATTCCGTAGAGATCAGCTTTGAACTTGAGAGAAAAACCTATTGACAGGAGGTGGTTTAAAAAGTTAGCTACTATTGTTAGTGCTTATAAAGAAAGATGTCACCTCTTTTGACCTGACCGAAGGACCCTGTTATCAGATGGCTGTTGTATCTTTGGGGATTATTCCTGCTTGGGTGGGAGGTGGGTTGCTGGGGTGGGTGTCACTTTTCTGCAGAGGGGAGGGCATGTCACCCATATGGAGCAGCAGCATCTTTCGGGGCCACTCAAGTTCTTTTCTGAACCAGACTTGGGACACAGGTCTCCTTGCAGCTCTAGGGATCCTGGATTAGTGCTTCCCGGCATCTGGCATTGGATATCAGGAAAGGTGTGCTGGACCATCAGGTGTTCTCCAGCTCCACTTCAGTAGACTGTCCTTGCTGCCACTGAGGAAGTGGCTCACCCCCTCTGTTTCCTCCCCACCTCTACTACTGCTTGCCCCAGCCCACATGACCTTTTTGACCTTTGCTCAGCTATAGCTTGTGGGTGGATTGACTTTTCATGATTGTTCTTCCTGGTCCAGAACAAGGGAATGCAAACATTCTTTCTATTTGGTTTCAATGAAACCTGTCTCTTTTTGTTTGTGTTTTATTTACCATTCTGAGTATGTCTGATCTAAAATTCATGTTTCTGGCGCAAACTCCGGTGTCTGGCAGAGGATATTAGTGGGCTTGTCCAGCTTTACCTTCTGCCTCAGGTTCCCCCACAAGGCAGGTGTTTGAGAATGGCTGGGTTATATACCTTGCTCTTTGCTTTGATGCAGCCAGGTCCAGAGAAATAGTGCAGCACTGTGGTTTCTGATGTCTGGGCTTTGGGGATTCCCCTCAGTGGTGCACATAGAGGCCCTCGGGAAATGGTATTGTCATTTTTCTCTTTTCCTGTGACTTTGTCCCTTTGTCCTGCCACCCAGGTCTTCAGCATCATTATTTGACCTGGGATTTAGTGCCTCACCACCCCCTCTTAAGTTTGGGTCTCTGCCCTTTGCTGCGATTAGGAGACACACTTGGCTTCTTGACTCAGGCCTCCTGATGGTTTTCCTAGAGAGAGACGGGGGCAAGGTGAGGCAGTCTCCCTGGAGGGGAGGCTCTTCCCTCTCCACCTTTCTTTTGCTCTCCTCTGGGATCCGACCCCCAACCCCACTCTCTCTCCTGCCTGCTCCTTTCCCCTCTCACTTCCTTTCTCTGCCCTCCTCTGGTCCCCTCTTGCTCTCTGCCCACCTCTTCTCTCCTCTGCGTGCCTGGCAGCCTGCATGTTCTGCTTCTCCATCCCTTACTCCCCATTTGCAGCCTCTCAGCCTCCCCTTCCGCTCTTCTCACCGTTGTCTCCTCCTTGGGGTACAGGAGCAGCGTCACGGGGTTGTTTTTGTCTCTGTCTTTGCCTGTTACAAGTCCCTTTGCTACACCCATACCATAAATAACACTCGAGCATCTGCCAAACACATTCCTCACTTGTGTTAATAGGCTGCAATGATGCCGGAGCCTGTTGCCATGACAACCTCATTTTTGTTTGACTGTGTCCCACTCTGCTACATAAAGCCTCTGGACGCACTCACACACAAACAGGCGTGTTCACACAACTATCACATATGCTTAGCTATTCAAGAGATTTTGGAGAAAACATCTTTGGCCAAGTTGATGAGCATTCCGCTGCCCAGTGTCACTGAGTATTATTCTAGGATGGAAGACCTCTTAACAAGTAAGGAATGCTATACTACTGTGGGGTACGATTGTTCTGCAGCCACATTAAACCTGCCTGACACGGTTTCTGAGAATATTCTTGGGTCCCCGTGAGCTAGGCAGAGCTGTAAGAGATGGCCCAGGAGGACTGTCAGAGACTGCACTTGCAGGATGACACCCCCCCACACATACACTGTCTTTCTCTTTTTTCCCCTCTTCGCTCTTAGAGCACCTTGGCCATTTCCTATATTCTTATTTTGTGCCATTTTGAACCTTTTCCTTTGTCACCAGTTGTTCCAGAGATCATAAAAGCACAGTCGCTGTGTGGGTGATGTTCTGTGACTGTGAGCACGTGTGAATTATCTGTAGCGAGGAGGCTGGGGATAGAGGGGGTGGGGATACAGACCAAGCATCAACCGTGTAGCTGCTGAGGTGTGTGTGTCTGTCCTGTGGGCTGCCCGGGGAATGGAGGCGGGCCCAGGGAAGCCTTTGCGATGACTTTGAAAGATCATTGTAGCTCTGTCCTGTTTACTCTTGGCTGGTGGCTGCTGACAGAACCAGCAGCAGGCTGGGGTTGGCTCTGAGTTTGGAGCTGAGGAGGGTCTGTTTGACTTGCTTCGAGGCTAATTGTGTTTGCCAGCTATATTTATAATTGTGTTTGATTATGTTGTCTTTTTTTTTTTTATAAATGATTTATTTATTTATGCATACAGAACTGGGGTGCAGGGGCAGTGAGAAGATTCACCAGAGACAGTAGGGAGCAAAGTACACTGCTGAGGGGAGCAGTGGGAGGTCAGGAGAGGCCTGCCTCACCATGTGGGTCACCTGAGTGGATGGGCTGGATATTGACTTGCTCTAAAGTGCTGCTGCTTGCTTGAAATGCTGCACTTTAACCCCTTGCACCACCAAGGAGGGCCCTGATTATGTTGTCTCTTCTAAGCAGCTGCACAAAGGGTGCTGAAAAGGAGCAGAAACCTCTGTGGGTGGGGTCCTGCGGGGCTTCTGGATAGGGTGTCGTCTTCAAGACCCCAAAGCTACCTCAGTTCCTGTGGGGAGGACTTTCAGGGATGGCCAAGGCTCACCTCAGAGCAGAGTAATCAGTTGCCATATTTGTGGCAGTGTTCACTGTTAATAATAATTCAATCTAAGTTTTGATCTGGAGCAAGAGGTTGAGGTCGTGCACTGTGGACATAGAAGAGTGTGCTTGTGCTTGTCTGTAAAGAGAACTGAAGCAACGTTTTAAACCCTATAGAGAAACCCTCCTGGCCTCCCAGAAGAGTTAAAAATTATCACAGCAGGCCTGGACAGAGCTTTCCTCAGTTGACTGGCCCGGGGCACCAGTCGCTTTGTTAGGGGGTGCAGCTGGCAGGAAAGCAGGGCTGTGCCCTGTGCTGGTGCTTCTGCAGCTACCACCTGGTCCAGACAGAGACAGGATGGTTTTGGGGGAGCAGGAGGTGGGAACCTCCCTGTGAGTGCTGGCCACTTGCCTGGTAACTTCTGGTTCATGGCTGCCTGCTTGGCCCCTGAGTTAACTTTATTTATGTTGTGGTGGGTCAGCTCTTGGTTTACTTCCCAGGAGCATACCCTGTATTGGGAATGGAAACAGTTCGCTTGAGAGCTCTCACATGGTTGTCCC